CCACTGAGGATGAGTGAAACTGTGACTGGAGCTCATTCTAAAGCATTGTTATTCAGGTTTGGAGTAATTTCAGGGAACGTTGTGCTGTCCAAATATATGAAAACCCACGGGATATACAGTCCTACTCCGAAGAAGGAAATGGTGTGTGTTCACATATTCTGAAAGGATTTGAAGTAGAAAGGAAATTGTAACCTTCTGATTGGGTAACATGAGATACCATGATTGTGTTGTACTTAGCCTTGTATACACATCTGGTGTTGGGTGTGTGCCTCACTTTTACAGGAAAGATCTGGAAATAAGCATATTTTCTCAATATCCTTGCCTGTTTTTTTGCTTTTTGTTTTTCTAGTTTTCTTTTTTATTAGTTTGTTTGTCTATTTGTTTGTTTTTAATAGCACATTCTTAGTAACAAAATCCCCTGGTATTAGTGGCTGGAGCACCAGACACAAGGAGCCCCAAGTTCATTTGGGCTGTTCAGGTGTTGTTGTACTGCACACATGCCCATGCTTTCAGCTGAGATGGTAGGAGCCAGTTTGTCTGAGGGGATATTCAGTTTGCTTTAGATGTACCTTCTCTTTCCAGATCATAGACATTTATGTAAGGCTGTAAAGTGTAACTTAGAGTTCTGCTAGCAGTGGAATAAATAATTCATTCTTTTGTTTAAGTGACACATTCTCGTTCCTGAATCTCTGCTGTCAGGAAAGCAGGCCTGGCCCCATGTTATTGTCTCTTAGTGAGTGTATAAGAATAGAGGCCTGAATATGACATTGTCAAGTTGCCTTCTCAGGGCCATGGCTGGGGAAAACTGCCCTGGAAGGGGGCAAGTTAATTCACATGTGACCCCAAACTGCTGCTTGAACCATGGCTATTCACATTGCAGCAAGCAAAATTGGGAAAAAGGGGTGAATCCCATTGTACTTGTTGAGCCTATAGCTAAGCTGTTTCCAGTCTCTGATTTTAGACTGCACAGTGTTTGGACAAAAGCAAGATGTGCTGGGCAGCTGATGTCAGAAAGGGAACTCTTCACTATGAGCACAGATTTTTATTGGTATTGACCTTTCATATGTTTAGAACAATGCTGCAACAGTGTGCAGGTGACTGAGGTGTCCTTTTGATTAGTGCTGAGAAATACCTGCTGGAATTAAATACACAAAGAACAGCATGGAATGGTTTGTCTGCTGTGGGAAGAGCTTCTTGTCCTGTGCAGATCCTTGAGTCTGCTGGACTGACTGAATTAGGGGCAGTTCTTCTACAAATGCTCTTGGGAAAGCATGATCTGAAGGTGCCAAGTGAAAAGGGAGCTAAATGTGTTCTGCAGTATGTAGACCAGAAAGAGAGAGAATGTTACAAAGGAAGCAGGAAGTCTGAAAAAGTCTTGATTTAATTTCCATAAATGTTTGTTCTAAAGATACAGCAAGTACCAATATGAAAAAACTATTATATTAATCCCTTTTCTGGAATCTTCCTGGTTACAAACTCCTTCTATAACACTTAGTGGTTTTTTTTTTCTTCCTTTTTTTTTTTTTTCCTTATCTTGGGGATTTTTAAAATTTTCTTTAAAATACTTTTCTTTTTTTTTTCCTATGAGTGCTAATATTCTGTGCAGTTGCATGAGCCTGTATTTAAAGCTAATTCAAAGGGCAAAAGAAAAGTCTCTGGAACACATACATGAATGGCCACAGTTTCTGGGGAAATAAAGTTTTTAATGGAATTAGAATCTCAGTGACATATTGTGAAAGACTTCTCTCTATTACATCCCTAAGATTTATGTAGGAGATGGTCCAGACTCATACAAATTCTTGTTAATAGTGAGGAATATATACATTAGTGTGCCAGATGACATATCTATGTGCCAGATTAAAGCAAGTGAAGTTTGAGTGTACATTTCAGCTGAGATGGCGTTCTGGAGAAGTTCACTGTCTTTCTGACCATTTTAAAGCTCTGTTTTATTGATCAGCTGCTTGAGAGTGAAAGGTTGAACTAATTCAACCTGAATTAGTTTTGTCTGAATGTTGTAAGAGTACAATCTTTGCTTACAACAAATGAGGGACATGAATTTACCCAGTTGTCTAAAGTTTTCTCTTCCGGTATTAATTTCAGATGCTTATACTTCAAGTGAATATGATTTAGAAAATTATGAAAGATAGTAAATATTTTTTTTTAAGACAACTTTAGACTTCAGGAAAAATATGAGAATAAAAATGGAGTAAGGTATTGTTTTTAGTGATAATGGAGGGGTTGGTGTGGTAATGATTTGCCTGGATGCCAGTTAAAAGTGGCCTTTCCTATAGAATTTGGGTAAATTGGCTGGCCAATGTATAGGAAAATAAATATTCCAAAGTTTCATTACACTTACTTTGGAATGCCTTCCTATGCAGGGATTCTCTTATAGAGTAAAATCTGTTAGTTTCTTAGCAAAATCATTATTTCACAATGCAGTGTTCTTGTGTTATTCCAGCAGAGCATGGAGGGCATGGAAAGGTATTCTGGAAGGGAAAACAAAATCCATTGTCCTGAATCTTCACAGGCCAAGATGCCAAGGTTAAAGGGGTCAGTTCATTTCTGTTTTCCCTGTAGGCTGGAATTTCCCATGTGTGTCCCAAGACAGTGGTGTGTCAGTGACAGAGCCAAATGTCCATTAGGATGTGGAATAGGGATTATGCTTTTGGGAAAATTTTTGTTTGTTCATTTGTATGTGTTTGTTTGTATTTTTGGTAAAAATATATAAGAAAAATAAGGAACCCAACATTTTAGAAATTCAGTCCTGAGTTTTGATCATTATTTTATGTTTCTGAGATTTTCTAAAAATGAAGTTCATATCTACCTTGAGCATGTTCATATTCATCCAAGGCCATGAAAATTAGGTTTCTTAATTATGTATTATGTTGCTGGCATTTTCTGTTGTTCAGGATAAAATACGAAGGCTTCTCTTTTTGTTCGAACTTGGAGAGAAGCTTGAAGTTTTTCATGGCATGGAAACTGAGAAACTTAATTTTTAAAATTCTGAATTACTGTAACCTGATATGTAGGTGATTTTGCTTTGTTAGTATTGACACATCCTGGATCTCAGTATTTTATGGTAAAGGTATATAACAAGTGAAGAGATGAAGTAAAAATATAATGGAAATTTAAAAAAAATACAGCAGCAGTTTACTAGAAACTCACATTTGCATTTTGTTAAAATTGTTTTTTCCAGAGAATATTACTGATTAAATTTTCTTTCGTCTAAAATCTTCCTGCATCAGTATAGAATATCAGATATTTCAAACATGAAGGAAAGAGGTTGCTTGCTATTAGGTGCCCCAGACTGAAAACCGTGCCTCCATTAATATCAATGAGGATTAAAGGTGAAACAATACATAGCCATTCATTAGTCATCAGTATCGGATGGTCCATCTAGCTTGAAGATCAAGTATTTGCTTTAAAAAGGAACAACAGCTGTATCAATTGCAGATGTAATGGGTTTGAATAAAAAGTTTAGAGTTCAAATTGCCTATATAGTTGTGCAAATACATAGTGAATTTTTGTGTGCAGTATCTACAATCTCTAGGGCATGTCTTTGCAGTGGGACTGTGGGATGGAGGTGGTGAATTCCTGTTCATCCAGTCCTGAGGAAACATCTGTGGATATGAAAGAAGAATTCACTCCACCAGATATAGGCATTGAATCTTGGTGTTGTGATAAGTTACCACTTCTCTTTTCCTGAGGTTTGGTTTCTGAAGTGGCTATCAGACTGATATTTGTGGTTGAAAGAAGGAAAAAAAGACTTTGGTGGCATTTACTCGAGATATTTTAAAAACAGTGAGAAGGATTGGTATGAGTAGTAATAAATTTAGATGAGACTGTGGAGGGAGAGATCAAGACTGTGAAGGGAAAAGGAAGAAAGGAAACTTCAGAGATTAGATAAGCAGCCACAATTTTCATGGCACACATGATCCAAGCCTCAGAAGACATTGTGGTTCATATATCATTGGACTGTGACCCGTGAGGGAAATTCTTTTTAGCAGAAATACTGTAATGAACTGGCAAACCCCACATACGTTTTCTTTGAAACCTTTTGTCTTTATGCCAATGTAAGCAAGAGAAATGCTTTTACCATAAGCCTTTAGATTTCTTATAACCCATGATTCTTGCTTCATTCTTAACACACTTAAGCAGTGGGTTAAAGTTTTTTCCTTGCTTTGTTTTTTTTTTTTTTTAAGAACAAGTCTAAAGGTTTTTTCTTGTAATTAGGGTAAGGGAGGGGGGGAATATCCCACTGGACAATTACTTTCTGCATATTTTTAGGTCTCTCACATTCAATAGAGCTCATCAATGGGCAGTGCTGAACATTAAAATGCATGAAGTTGAATTAGGCTGTTCGGCCCCCAAATGGCCCCATAGGCAGACACCTTGAAAGAACTGTCATTCAGAATAAAACTAACAAATAATATGTATTTTAGGCTGGAAGCATAGAAGCATTTAAAGTTTGAATCATAATCATAAATGGACGAGTATCAAAAGCAGTTATGGAATGAAGCCAAGAAATTATCGGTTTTTCAAAACACCATTTACAAGAGGCATTTTTGATTTTTCTTTGGTTACAAATCCATAGATATATGCAGGCAGCATAATTAATCATGACAGAAAGATCTTTGGTGTATGAGGTGATGGGGTTTGTTTCTTCAAGTTTTTCCTTTGCTGTGTTTAATCTGGAATTGGTCCCTATTCCTGTTAATTTTAATTGTATGCTCTGAATTTAGAGGTTTTATGTTGGTATACTTGGCATGCTTCCATTTTATCCTTCCTTGCCATGCTGGAAATGGTCTCTGGATCAGACACTGCAAAGGACATGCATTTGCAATGATGCTTTTGAAAGCAGGCCTATCCCCAGCAGCACACATCTGCTGGTTGGTGCTGCTGCTCAGCTCACAGTGCTGGCCATAGGTGCATTCTCCAGTGCCTAGTAATAGTGGGTGAGCCCATGCAGTGAGAAACTCTCTCTTGCTTTTCTTTCGTAGGTTTTTGCAGGCTGTTTTTGACACCCAAGGGATTGAAAACGAATCATGGAATATTGTCCAGAACCAGGAAAATTTGGATGCTGCAGAAGAAAGATGGCTTTTCCTTCCTCTTTGTTTGAAACCTCTCTGGTCAGTTGAAATGTATGCCTTCTTTCTATATTGACTAACATGGTTTTTCTTCATAAATCAAATAGAACACATCTGGAGACACTTCCTGGCAGATATGCTGCTGTGATTTGTACTTACAGAGGATCAAGGATGAGTTTCTTCACTTCAGAGGACAATTCTTCAGGGATAATTTCTTGAGTTTGTTGGGCCCCAGTTGCACAGAGGAATACCCTGCTCTCTGAGCACAGGGGGGGTGTCTTCCATAATGGTTCTATACTCTCATCTGTGCCTTTTGTTACTCTCTGGGACTGTAATGATAGAGCATGATGGGTTGCATTTTGGTGTTTTTACAAAATTGCAGGGTCTTTCCAGATGTTTGTGGAGACCAATCTTCAGTGGTATGGGAGGAAAAGAAAATAATCTAAAGGAGGGGAGGAAAATTTAGGTGTGAAATGCACGCAATGTCCCCTAGACTGTGCACTGCCCTCTCATGCATGTTCTGATAATTACTAACTTTCAGAAATAAGGCAATAAATAATGCAGTATCTCCCACATTGGCATACCACACATGCATAACCTGATGCTACTAATGCACATCCTCCTGTATCCCACTGCACTTTTCTGCCTGGAAATTGGACCTCAACAAGACAGGAAATCTATTTGCCCCTTTCTGCCATGTGACTACATGAAAGTGAATCAGAATATGGGTTGTCCTGAAAGAGTTACCAGTAATGTTATAGAGCACATTTGAAGAAAGCCAAAGTTTTCTGCTTGAGTAAAATTTGTTTTGCTGATGAATTCCGTGGAGCTTTAAGTGGAAACCCTCTTTGGTAACTGAACAAAGCCATCAGGTATGTTATCTGACTTGACAGTCTGGTGTTTGATTAATCAAACTGTTAATTTGATTTTAAATGACTGATGCTCTTTTAGTACATCTGACTTAAGTGCCTGTTTATAATTACGGTACTGAATCAAAGGCTCTTCCCAGCCATTGTACAGATTAGTTTGAAAAGATGTGTTTTGATTTTAGTAGTCGTAAAAAAATTGCATTGGTGTTTACTTTAAAGCACAAATATGTTCAAAGAAACACATAGTTAAAGTGATAAAGCAGTGCCCTCACACTTTTTATCTGAAAAAGGAATGCAAGGGTGCAATTTTTAATAAGTTATATAAACAGCACACTTTATCTTCTAAAGAGATAACCAGTTTGGGGGCATTCATAGCAATTTGATTGGTGGGCACTTAGCTTTGTGTAATGAACATACATCATGAAAAACTTTTGTAAAACTGCTGGAGGTAGGGGATTTAATCTTGTGTGCAGCTGCTTGCATCTTGTATTTTGCTGGGAATAAACTCCTGTGGAACTTGAAAACCAAGTGATGGCATATAGTGACTCAGTGTGCTGTGGTGTATTTTCAAGTGGATTGGAGCAAATGTTCAGATATCAGGAGAGCTGTGGAGGTTCTGGGGAAATGAAGGTTATGGGAAAGGTCCTAATCCTATAGACAGCCAAGCACACAATTCCTTGAAATAATCTGTGTAGTTCCACTTGGCCTGATCGTTGTATGAATTATATGAACCCTTAAATGTAAATTAAACTGATTGGTTTCTGCAGGGTTCACTTATGGTTGTATCCACAACTGCATGAGAGTGTCTGCACTTGGAAAAAAGGTCACAAATTTCTGCAAAAACACTTTTTTGAAATAGTTTAGATTATGGCTAATCACTAACATGGAAAATTCAATCTCTAGTAAATGTGTAATATACTTGAAGAGTGTCATTTTGGTGTAGCAAATAAGAAATGTCTGGAGGCATTATTTCTGCCTACTTTTAAACTCTGCATGTCTCAGATAATACATTATCATCTCCAATTTTCCTCACAATCAGCTTGAATATCTCAGGGGTACGTATTGCAACACTGTAATTATACAGCAGATAATCTGATCACATTGACACTACTTCTTCCAAGTGTGTTTTTGGGCACTGTAGCTAAATGAGTGTTTAAAAAATATTCTAAATTTAAAGAAAGTTTTACATGCCTTCTTTTTTTGTTTCCCAACTACATATTGGTCCAAGAGGCTTGATTTGCAAAGGAAAGATACTCAGCACTTTCTGGAAATTATTAGCCACATAGGCAATTCAGGCACTGTAAAAGCCCAAATCATTAGTCATTCTTGAAAATCTTGGTTGAAGAATACTAGGCAATGCAATCTCTATTTCTGTAGGGTTTACTTTTTCCTGTTTCTTTTTTTCATATCACAATTTCCTAAATTCTTCAGTCACTGCAGCCTTTCCAGAGTACACAGACATGAATTTTGACCATGAAACCAAGCTAAAACACCTCCTTGATTCTTCCTTTTAGTTTTTCATGTATCATGTAGAACAGTGTGAAAGCATGAAACAGCACTATTTTTTTTCCTTACAAGGCATTTTTTGGGGGAAAAAATAGTCTCTAAAGGAAAGAAGCATTGAGAAATGTAGTTTTGTCTCTTCTCCATCCCCATCTGAACCCTAGAAAGCTGAATATTCTCACTTAGGTTTCCTAAATGACTCTTACTTTGTTGGCATGTCACTAACCTGGCTTTTTAAAGCCTGGTTTATAGAAAAAATACTGAACTTGGCTGGGTTAATGGAGCTTGTGTCCCTTGAATGAGGTAAAATGTACCCTGAGAAGAAGTCACACAAATATGTGGGCCTGATTTTAAATTTTTTTTTTTAATTTTTTTAATTTCATGCCTCTGTGTTCTTCCTGTGTCAAATTCACAACCAGGTTACTTAGAGAGCAGAGCACCTTTGTGAGAGCTGTGTATCCTCAGGATTCCAGGGTGCACTGAATCCTGGATCACGCATGTAGAGGGTTACTCTGGGCTTTGTTTTAATTTATCCATCTGTGTTCAAAAACACTGCAGGTTTGCAGTGGGGAGCCATATCATTGTTCTTTTTTATTCAGCCTGAGACTGTTGAAGATCCTACCTGGGGACTGGAATGGCTTAGAAATGGGGTGAATTTGAAGTTCAAGCGAGATAGCGAGAAATGTCTACTGGGAATACTGAATGCAGTCTGAGGCAGTGGCAGTGGTTATGACTTTGTGAAGCCATGACACCAGTGAGAATGGCATTTTCCATAGGTTTTCAGAAGCCTGCAGGGCCCAGTGAAAGACAGGAGCATCTGTCCTATGTGTTTCTTGGGTTTGTGAGTAAAAAAAAAAAAATGTTTCTTTTTCTTTCAGAATGAAAGAAAAAAGGGCTTTTTTTTTTTAACTGTAGGAACCCTAGGGATGGGGCCAGAATTAATTTCAACTAATTGTAATACCCAGCTGAGATTAGGAGCCCTGTTCTATAGAGCATGAGAAGAGGCAATTTTAGAGTAGCAACACTGAATTATCCTTTAAAGCTGTCTCTCAGCATTGACTTATATAGGCAACCTTTGTTGATGTGCCTCCTAATTAGGCACCCCAGAGAAATTCCTGCAGTTAGTGAGATGAATTTGGATCTCAGTGAAATAAAAATTCCTCAAATTTATCTCCTGTCCATAGCAAAAAATGATATAGAAGAACATACAAGCATTTAAATTTTACAGAAGTGTGTATTTTTAATCTGGGGGGTTGATCACTAAAACTTACTTTGGTTTGCCTTGCCTTGCTTGGCTAAAAAGATGAGTCAAAACCCAATTTTTTTCCTCAGATGATTTTTATTTGCACCATCTTTATTACTTTGGAACATATTTTTACAGCCTAAAATTCAAAATTTCCATTTGTGTATCACAGATGATGAGTATATCATATTTGATAATGCACTGCAGAAATATTGTTTAATTTGGAGGACTCTGTTACAGAGAAATAGAAATAATGGTACCATTTACCTGAAATGGCAGCTGTAAAGTTCTGAAAAAATAAGCAATATTTAATAGATAATAATACTGCATGTGACTAAACATTCTTTTCTAACAAGATATGAATGGGCTCTTTTCAGCAGTTCAAAATTTGATATTAGGTTTTGGACATGTTTTAATCAGTCTCATTCTTCTTCTACTAAAACTTAAAATTTAAATAGTGAAGAGCTTAATTATACTTTTTTCTTTTAATTTACATGTTTTGTATGGATCTCTGGCTAGAATTGCACTAGGGCAAAACCTAGATTATTTTCATATCAGATGAAACAGCATGGCAGAAGAGTTCAGTATAGAGGATTTAACATTCTTAAAAATATGTTATAACCATTCATTTAAAGAAGTCTGTGCAAGTTATCCAGAATAACTCTTGGAGCCAGAAATAGGCATTTTCTCACAGTGTAATTCACTCTCTTCTCTAGCAGTGACCTCCCAAAGAAATTCCTTCACGAAGAAGACATTTCTGTGGGGAAAAGGAGGAATGTGAACTTGTGAATCCTGATAAATAGCTGCTGCTAAATTATTAACTGAATATCTCAGCCTCAGTTCTGGCAGTTCCAGCTCTTGCTCTCCTTCAGAGCAGCTTTGTCTTTAAGTGTAATAATTGTTAACTATAGCAGGAACACTGAAAGTGAAGGGAACAGGAGTTTACACTTAACAAAGAACCTTGCCAGAAAACTCTCTTGTTAAGCTGTCCTGACTTAGTTATAAATAAATGAATGTACTTATTTTGGTTGTACTCAGATGTGGGTGGGTTTGTGTTGGTGTGGTTTGGTGGGTTTTTTCCCATTTTTTTCTTCTCTTTTTTGTAATTTTTTTGTTGTTGTTGGTTGGTTTGGTTTTTTAGTTTTTTAGTTTTTTTTTTTTTTTGGTGAGGGGAAACAGATTTTTATGTATGTAATTAGGTAATTGGTTCTGTACTGCCTATGGATTGAAGCCAAAAGCTATTAACTTCAAGTATTCAGAGCTTTAAATGCACAAGGCAGAGTATTTGCAGGGGACGAGAACACCTATATGGATGCACTGCTGTGTGCAGAGAGAGGTTATGGGTGCTAGGCCACACTATTTGAATTTCTTTGGATATACTTAGCATTAATGGTGAAGTTGAAAGGGGATATCCTACTGCTGCACAAGTTCCTGAGCGCTTTCACCCGTACACTAGTTTTGGCTGGGAGCTTGTGCTGGTTTTATTTGGCTTGGATTTGCCAAACTGTTGATGTTCCCCTCTGGATTGGTCACTGCCAATGAGCTCAGCCCAGGTGAAAGAGGATTTGCAGTAGTTTGGAAGGCGAAGGAGTTTGCTGAACCCCAGAAATCCAGGAGAGTGTGTACAGGATGGACAGAGAGTCCAGGCAGCTGGTGACAAGGGACTTCAGAGGGATTCTTTTGAATGTTTTTGTTTGCACATTTAGTCACTATATTGAAGATTTTCACTTTCAAGAAGCTGATGCAGAGTCAACTCTGCCTAGCTGGTCTCAAAATCCTACAAAATATCTTTTTTCCTAGTCAGACCCAGCCATCAGCCCCTGGTGTGGCTCCACCAGAGCAGGATGGTCCTAAAGGTCACCTGCAGTACCTGTCCCATCTGCTTATGCTTCACTTTGCTTTCTGTGCTGCTGATGGTTTTTGTTAATGCTTCTTTGACATTAACACACTAATCCTGCCTGAGAAATCCTCTTTTCATTCTGGAACTAGCAGAGTTCTTGCTGCCACCTCTGCTGGCACAGCTCTTAGGGTATTCTCCAGGGTGGTGGGGCTGTAGGAGAGTGAGTGTTCAGGTGTTTAAACTGGGTTTAATTGAGCTAATTTCTGTACCAGACTTAATCCAGTTTAGAGCTCTGCACTGGTTAATGTTGTCCTCTTCCAAATTAGCTTGCAGAGTTTTCTGCTCAGGAGCAGAACTGTTCTTGGTACTCATACAGGTTTTGAAAGCAGCTTTGTTTAGTCGGACTCTAAGTAGGTGGCACATATGTTTGTGATCCTCCTCTCTCTCCTTTATGTGTTTAAATCCTAACTGGGGAGCCTGGAAATAATCTTGCCTAACTTCTAACAACCAGATTTTCTTTTTAACCATCTAATTCTTCTCATATAAAGCAAGAAGACCCCAAGAGGGACTCTATGAATCTCTAGAGTCTTCCCTTGTGCTTATGTCTCTAGTTGTTACTCATTGCAATATTCTGTATTTGGGCAAAAATCCTTTTTTTTTTTTTTTTTTTTTTTTTTGTAATCTGCATTAATGACAACTTTGGAAAGTGTGTTGGTGATTCTTGGAGTATTTGGGGAGTGAAGAAACAAGACAATGAGTAGTAAGAGAAATCCTTCATCTAGTCTGCAGGCACTCCTGAGCAAACCATATTCCTAATTTTCTAATCAGAAAGAATAAAATATGTATCAAGTTAGTGGTGAGTGGTTGTCACCCTACAGTTTAGACCTAGGCTTGTTTAGATTAACTGGAAAATTTTCCATGCCTACTACATAAGTTGGAATTGGGTGCTTCAGGATATTTTTATGAATGGCATCTATAATGTAATATTTTAAAGACGTGTTAGCACCCGATAGAAGTTTCTAGTCTGACAGTGTGGAAGGGACAATACCCCATTGGACACAGCTCTGATGAATATATTTTCTTAATACATCTGTAGATGAAAGTAAAGACTTTTGTAATTGTCTGGCCTGATGTTACTGAGATGAACAAATTTCAGTCACTAATGTTTTTAGGAAGCCTCCTACTTGTCTTTGAACAAGTTTGTATAGTACAGGTTGTATCATAAATATTTATACACAAATATAAGTACATGCATCATAAACTTAATGAATGAAAATTTGATTGTGGTCAAATTGAAGATGTGGATTTCCAGAGAGAAGTTATAGTGTCTGAAGGGTAATCTTAACTAGAACAGAATAATATAATTAAAACAAACTATTGCAGATTCATTGATAATACTTCTACTTCAGAAACAGAGTTGGCATGTCTTCATCTATATTGTTTATTAAAACTTCTCCTTTCTGCTTTGATTCTTTCATGCTGTGCTTAGAACTTCTATTTGCTGAGGAATTAAGCATTCACATTTGCTTCCTGAGTCTTTTCTTAAGCTTGTGTCAGACAAAACGAAAGAAAAACAAAGATTGTCTGGAAATTCTAAAGTAATTTAGTTTTATAAATCCTTTCAGGAGATCCTGTGTTTACCAAGTGAACTGCATAGGGTTAATTTGCTAAAGTGTTCTGAAGGACTTGCCCAAATGAGAAAAGAAACATTACCTAGAGTTGCTGTTCTTTGCCAGGAACAAAAGTAAAACAAATCAGTGGCAGGATGAGTGGATCCGGTTAAATAATAATGTCTCTCCAGCAGGAAGTCTGTCTGTCAACTGAAAGGTGAGACAGCAACATAATGACAATGCCCCGTGGATCAACTCTGAGAGTGAAAAAAAGCATCCCACAACACAACCCACCCCCAAAAACCCTTCAATGAAAATATAAAATGACAGAATTCACAACAGCATTTTTTTAGTCTTTAAGCTCAAGTGTCTGGAAACACGTTTCTTCTCCAGGGTTATTCACATGCAGATTCCTCCTTGTGGTGGAATGCCCCAGGGTAAGGAGAGCAGAATTTGGCCCTTTCTGTTTGCTCACTGAGGCCAAGTGCTGCTTTCTCAGTGAAATACCTGCCTTGGAGCTGTACAGCTGTGATATGCAAGAGTAGCTTTGGCATTTCCTTCTTTTCCTTTTTTTTGGTCTAGGAGGTGAGTTCTGTGAAAGCTGAAGACTGTGTGGAAATTAAGCACGCAGGGGTAGGTGACATGCCCGAGTTTTGGCTGGAGTAGGGATGCTTTCGTGACAGCAAATATAGAAATAAGGCCTATCAGAATTAATATCGAGTTAAAACATCCACAAAGCTTTTCAGTCTGGTGCTCTGTTATTTGTATTTCAGTTCTGGATGAATGCAATGCTCCTGGGACCCATGAAAATTCCCTGGAACCAAGAGCTGTAAGTGTTCATTGTCTCTGAGAGAAAATAACGTGTTATTTAAATATGGATTTAACAGCTGACAGAAGTTTGAAAACTTTGGTCTCTGTTTCTAGGACTTTCAGCATATAATTTTTCAAAATCAGTGTATTTTTTTTAATATATGAAGCCTTCTCACACTGGCATTGAGAAATCCCAAATTGCCATTTGTGCGTTAAAACATCTGCAGGAAATGAAGGTGTTGGGTTGTGCTGCAGCGATGGCTCAGCCCTCATTTCCATTTGGTAATTGCTGTGAAAGGTTTACCTGCTGTAGTGTAGTTTATGTTGTCTGGAAACGCCTCTGTCTCTGCCTGTGGCTGCTAAGCAACAGCCCAGATATTTACTGTCAAACAAATAAGACAAAAGCCTCATCTGCCACTTGGAGGCCCGACCTCATTGTTACCCAGCCACTCAGCTGGGCCATCATATTCAGAATCAGCTCTAAACTTAGTTTTTGACCACACAGTAATTTAACTGTAGGAATCCTTTCAGTCTTCATTAAGTATACTTCATTAAGTAGAGAGATTGTAACTACATGGAAGTATTCTAATGCCTCATATATTATTTATTTTAAATTGTTATGTTTTTTTCTCCATCAAAGGGTGAAAGGAAAACTTACTTCGTGAGACAGCTTAATTTTCAAAAGTAGAATTACCTTTTTGTTGACCCTGGAACAACAAGGGATTTCTTTAATAAGTTCCTGCCATGATTAGAGCTGAGCCCTTCCCTTCTATTACCTTTCTTGCTTGACCCAAAACAATAACTAAAATGTATTTCTTGGAATTGGTCTGGAGAAAAAAAAAAGGAATATAACAGAAAACCCAATTCCCAGAAGGAGCAGTCAGGCAGAAATGTTACTGACAAAGGGAAATTACCTTCGAGGCAAGTAGGTAATCAATAGTAATCAAGTTGGTGGCTCTAAAATACAGAAGTTTCCTTCAAGACTTGTATTATGTTTATCTGCAGTGGGTCAGAGGCCAAGACAGACTAATTGCAATTGAGGTAAGCCTTTCAGAAAGATCTGGGGGATGTGAAAAATTCAGTTTTTAACAGCTGGAACTTGTCTCCTTCTCCAAGGCTGTGGTTGCTAGCTGCACCCTCTGTCCCCATGACCACCAGTAAATGGGTGGCTCCTTGCTGTTCCAGCAGATCTGTCTCCTGGTGATTCTGGGAACTGCAGATGGCATCTGCCAGGTATCTGTACAGTCCTGCATAGGCAGAGGCCCTAAAAGCACAGAGAAGTGGTTTTGGGAATAACTTCAACAGTGCTGCTAAAGTCTGTTGCCAAAAGTAGGTACCCAAATATGTCTTTATCCCATATACTGTGCACCTGATTGTAGGGTTATGCAAATATTTTAACGTAAGCTAGATAAATGAATTTTGGTCTTTTCACCAAGCGTGTGCTGGAAATGGGTGCCCCTGGAATGGTGAAAGAAATATTCACGGAAGCCATGGCACCAAACACCAAAGTGTTGTAGAATTGACTTTTGCTGTTGCAGGTTTCAATATTTGTGGAAGAAATAATAAACAAGGCCTGAAAAATAAAATCCACTAAACTGACTTCATGGATTTTGAAGCAGTTAGTTCCCTTACAAAGTCCTGCTGTGCATGGGTTTGGAATATTAATTTTACAGGCTAATCCATCTGGCCATCTGCTCATCTGAAATTCAAACAAGGCTGTGTATTGCAAGTTAGTATCCTATAACAACCAATAGCTATAAATGATCAGCAGAATGTGTCATTCTGTCTTGCTCCTCCATCAGTGAATGACTGCGACGTGTCATTTAATACTTCAGCCACTGATTATTCCTGATGGGGAGGAAAGGTGAGAAAGTAAATTATTGAGCTGGTAGTGATATTTGGCATGCATCTTGTGGATCCACTTTTTTGTCACTCTCTCCCATGGTCCAATTATTATGGGTTGTGCCAAAGGCTAGAGGAAAGACTGTGTTTAGATCTTTAGATTGGAAGTAGCGTGACAAATAATTTCCTCTGAGAATTACTTTCCTGTGGAAAGAATTGGTCTTGACTGGATAGTCAAGACCAATATTTCAAACTCTTGACTAGCCTCTGGAAACCATGAATATATGCAGGTTTTTTTGAAACCTAGTAAAAATTTGATTTAACGTGGTTCCAACCACCAAACTGAGGATTTCTGTGCAGAACTGAGAAATATGTATTGAGCTTTTTAATTTGTACCTGACTTTATTAAACATTCACTTAGTAGCTCATACTCTCAGACTCAATATCTTTAAATCACCAATATTTGCCTAACAATTTTATAATTCTAACTCAGATATAACAAAGCCAGTATTTTTCATTGTCTTTTTTTTAACTTTAAATGTGAATTTTAATTATTTTGTTTGAGAAAGGATGCCTTTGCAAACCATGTAGTTTGAGTAGCTGCTAAAGTCTTTGTCATATCAGTGGAATGCTTGAAACATTTAAGATTTTTTTGATATTATGATTATACTCTTCTAATTTCTGTAGCTTTTTGATGTGATTATGGCGTTAGTTATGTAATAAACAATAGTTATTCATTCTTTATGTTCTTACAGGCAAGTACCACAACAAGGAGAAAAAAAAGAATTAAAGTGTTAGGTAGGATACAGCTCAGAGGCTTTTGATAATGGTTTTGGGGCTGACCACCTTCGGTGCCTTTGGAACACTTCACCAGTGAGATGCTTAAAGTAAGAACTTTATTTTTAAATAGAGAAATCTTGTCTTTCCACCATTTTGTTCCATGAAGTAGCCTAATATCTGGGTTTACACTTCCCATTCTGCAAAATGCATGCAGTCACAGAGTTCATTGAATTCTTAGAAAAAAACCTGAATCAAACTCCATATGTTCCCAGAACCTAAGTGTAATTTACTTTTGGAGTAATTCCATTAATTTTCCTAGTCTGTGTGAGAAGTGGTAGCAGGAACTGAATCACAATGTTTGGAAAGAACTTTAAAGTATTTAGAAAGCTATAAAATATTATTAAGTGTGTAATTAATTGCTGAAATTCATAGTCTTCCTAATAGGCTTACTTTGTTGTTGTAGTAAAAAGAGAAATTAGATTGCTCTAGGAAATATATTTTTTTTGTAAATTTTGAAACCACAGCAATTTGGATAACATATTTTAGCCTACATTATGGTTATGAGTTGCTGCATGACAAGGATTCCACATAAAACCACTTCATACCATCAAGGGTAACATCTCTGTGTAGGTGAATAATAACCATAAGAAATCAAAGAGGTTCAAAAGAAATAAAAAAGGAGGAAGATGAGAAATAAAAAAGGAGGAAGTGTACATGAGGGAGATAATATTTTTGTTTTCTCTGTTGTTAGCTAAAACTGAGAGAAAAGAAAAATCTCATTTTTTAAATCTATTTGATAATGAGGAGGAGTAAGAGAAAGAAACCCTTTTGCTGAGAGCTCTGCACTAGTTTTGTTTGGCACCAATCAGGTGCTGTAGACCAGGATAACAAAGGAAGCTTTCAGTTTGCCTTGTTGAGGTTCACTGAAAGGAAAGAGTGTGACTTTAGGAAGAGTTCAGGTAGAACCTAGAGAGGCAATTAAGTAATTTAAATATTTGTTTGCTTTTCACTGGAAGACAACACAGAGTTTGGAAAACACACAATCAAAAATATTGTGCATTTCCTAAGCAAGCCTGTCATTGCTATTTCCTGCCTTGCCATTACCTAAAAGGAAGAAGCAAATTGTGATACATTTAAAATGAATACCAAAAATCTAAGTGCAAATAGGGTTTAAATTCTGGTGAATAAAGAATTATAAATGGAAGAAATATTAATAATGCTGATTTTAAATAAATCCCTCATAGTATTTAACCTTTTCTGAAAATGCTTGCACAAATATGTGACTAGAAAACATCTCATTGTAGCTATTAGTAAGAAACTTGCTAATCTGATAAACTGATTGTACTGAATACACACTGTTTTCTTCCAAAATATACCTGGTTTGCCTTCTCCTTCTGTGTTATTTTTTACTGAGGTTTTCATTTAATGTGACTCGAATAATTTAAAAATTGTGTATTGAATACTTTCTGGGAGTCTGAAAGTCATGGTTTGAGACAAGTGAGCAATTAGTATGTTATTTGCAAAGTGTTGCTAGTGTGTACATCCTCATGTCTGTGTCCCAAGGAAAAATGTAACAACTCTGTTTGGTACTGATTTACTTTCCATTTTTCTGTTGTTGCTCTGTCTAGTGCCTATTCTGACAACTCAAAATCCTGAACAAACAAAGTAAATAAGCTCTATGGAAACCATAAATCATAAAATATTCATATGCTTAGAAAAAACAACATATTTAAGTTTCTTTTGGTCTCTTCAGGATGACTTTTGTCTCACTGTTTCAGTTTCAATAAAAGAGACAGCATGCACTAAACAGATAAAATATCCATTTATGTCTGAGGACATCGAGCCAAGTTTTGCTATCAGCTGTACTCCTGTAAGTGCTGTAACTTCATTGGAGTTACTGTGGTATTATCTTGACAGAAGTAGACAGCAATTAATGAGGAATATAGTTGCTGCATATTCTAGGAAATCTTGAATAGTGATATCTAACCACAGGCCAGATTTCTCCCTTCATCTCCAGTAGGAAACTAAAGTCCGACTTGGGTTCTGGATGAATTCAGTGGATGTTCATGTATTGCTCTGTGAGGCAGGGCAGAGCCATGCCAGGGCACTTTGATCAAGTTTAATTTAGTGGTTAGGGCAGTTTCTTTGAAAATAGGGGATGAACACCTTTTATCTCAGGAGAACACATCAACCAAGTTTCCCAGGATCTGATGATATATTTAAGCTGCTCTACTGTCATTTAAAGCAGAGGCATTGACAGTTTTCCCATCAATGCTGAAAGTGTGCAGTATTTCTCGTCATGGGAGAGAAACAGATAATCTACATCGCTGCCTATCTGATGGAAAGTCCCACCATTCATGAGCTGTGTCTGTTTTTCTGGGATTTCAAAGAAATGAGAGGCGTGAAATATTTCTACATGACTGAACTTGTGTTAGTTATATACGTCACCAAAAAGGCAGAAAAAAACCTTAGAAATTTTACAATCAAAAGAGTGATCTCTGTTTGTTGGGTTATAGGTTCAGAACTCTTAGAATGCGGTTACGCACCCATTAGACACATGGCATGGAACATCAATGGGTTTCCTGTGTTTTTATCAAAGTGATTTACCCAGTAATTCTGTACCTGCTGGGTGTGTGCACGCAGGTATTATAAGCAGTAAGGAGACAAAAGACTGAAAAATGCAGTTATTTTTTTCAGGTACCATAGAACAGACAATCCCAATAATTAGGGAAAAAAAAGGAAAAAGGCACAGTAGAAAGTGAGATTTCTTGGATATAGACCTTGCCGTATTCCAAGTGGAGAATGCAGGGAATTTGTACCTGCAGTGTAGTCAATTATTGGGATAGGAAGATTTACATAAGAGGATCTTGTGCTGCTGAAATGTCATCACATGTTCTACAAAAGAGTTTACAATTTAAAATGCAAACAGTCCTAGAATTTCATGTTTTCAGATAACCAAAATCAGCTGGTAAAGTGTCAAAGCTGCTCATCAGAAAAAGCCCAAAGTAAAGCAGGAGGCATGTGGAGAATAAGGAGGCAGAGGTCAGCAATGTGGCAGCTCCTGGGCAGACAGGAAAGCTGGTTTTGTAGTGATGAGTTGGTTTGAATGTGACAAGAGAAATCCTTCTCCCCTGCTCACTCCATGTTAGGAAAGAAAGAGGGTATTTTAAAATCTCAAAAATATTCCCCCCCCCCCAAAAAAAAAGGAAAATAAAATTAAAAAAAGATGATTTCTTGAAATATAACAAAAGTAATTAGATTTTTCATTCAGTTCAAGGTTGTTATTTCTCAGGTAATCTTCATCATTTTTATTGGATGGTGGAACATATTTTTCAAGTGCTATGCTGTTTGCAAAGTTTAAGAAACCTATTTAGAGAACAAAACTTTTATTGTCTGACTGGTAGAACCAGTCATGTGGCTGGAAAAGTGAATTCCAAATGTTAAGTCCACAAATGAATGAAGAACAGCTCATGTGCATCCACTTATATTTAGTTTTTTGTAAGCAATGAAGGCTAAATTACTATGAGGGATTCACAAAAATTATGTCTTGCAGAGAGCCTAAATGTGAAAATTGAGCCAGTTCCCTGTGAATGGAATTTAACTAGATTTGAGTATCAGAAACAGATGTTCTCTATTTACGTATATATATTTTGAAATGCATTAGTTTTTACAAAAATAAAAACACTGTTATTGTTCACATGCAGTCAGGAAATCCTGAGTAAAGACTGATGACTGTCTCCTCTACCTTGCATCTGATCTAGAGGCTTTCCCTGTGCAATACGAGTGTAAAATGCTGTCATACTGATGAAGACATAAATGATAATGTTAGACAGAGAGAAATGCCCAAACTAGTGGTGGTTGTATTAGCAATGGTAGGCCTTGGGTCTAACCAAGCTTTATTTTTAAAACTACGACTTACAACCCAAATTGCTTAATTACTTATGAGCCCTCTATTAAAACTCCAGTACTTGCAATGAGATAACCAAATACCAACACCATCTTGACTAAATCCAACATAAAATTTTCCCATCACCTGTCTCACAGATCTAAAAGAAAATTATAATGTCAGTATATGGGATTTCATTCATTTGACTGTCATCTTCCATGCTAGCAAGTTACCAAAACTGAATAAGAATGAAATAATTTGTAGATGAGAACTCAGCAGGACAGGACAATGCTCTGCAGTGAGAACGAATCTGGATAATCAGCTTTAACTCTGGAGTTCCTCATTGTTATCAATATGTGTCAGTAGGTTGTCATTACTCATGCCACTATTAAAAAAGAATAAATTTTACTGCTGGAAACAAGAATCCCTCCAGGCAGAAACTTCACAAACTTTTAAAGATATTTCTTGTTTCATCTGAAATGTTTGGGCAGAGGATTGTTCACTGTAGTATTAAAATAGAAAAAATACTGATGCATTAATTGCTGCTGATTTGGTACAAGAGCAGTGTCTGCTGCAGTGATGTTTGCAAAGTCATCATCCATCTGTTGATTTTTTTTTTTTCCTAAGGAAGCAGAAATCATTGTGCTTTTTGTTTGGGAATATGATAAATACAAGTCTGTGGATTCTTACATTACCGTAAACATTATTTCTTCTTCAAGCTTTGCAGCAAGTGTTTGAAGGAAGTCTGTGATGCACAGCAGAAGTTTCTTGGCTGGCACTTGGGCTCTGGCAGTGGTCACACAGCTACGTTTAAAATGAGGAACACATTAGAGTTTGTCAGGTTGGCCTCACAGTGTTTGAGGGATCTCTCCGCTGGTGTGGATTCTAGGTGTGCATGTGGAGAGAGTAAATTTCGCTTAGAGTGAAAAAAAATCTGGAATTATTTTTCTCCAACAGTTTGTGTACTCACCAGAGTGTGCCCCCTCCTTCAGCTAATATTTGCAGTAACTTTATATGTTAAAACAAGGCTGTGCAGTAGCTGTTGGTAGCTTAATCATGTGGCTACAAAATTAACCTTTGACCTTTCTTAGCCTCATCAGGAAATTGATTTCAGGAGCTATTCCTTAACCCAGGATATGTGGTTAAAGTTAAACATCACTAATAGGAAGTCTAGTAACAGGAAACGTGTGAATGCTAATCCATACAAACATAAACAAACCT